AAATTTTGCGTAATTGACTAGAAATTGGTATTAGCCACGCACATACGTGGTTTTTCTAGCCCCTCCACTCCCTTCCCTTCCCGCCTCCTGCACCCAATTTGGCAAATTGCAAGGATACTACCAACAAAAATGAAATAAATTGGTGGAAGGGGAGCAGCAACGGTAGAGCGAAAAAAAAACAACGAAACACGCTGAAATGTTCCCTAAAAATTGCTATCTAAATTGCAAATTTTGCGGCCGGCGTAATTGAAAAACATAAACCGCTGCCTGGTTTTTCCCGCCTGGGTTTTTCACGTCTTTTTTTCCTGACCCTCCCTTGATTTTAAGCCTGACTACCGTTCGCCATTTTTAGTTATGCAGCATGGGCAGCAAATTAAATGAAAATCGAGCTAAAAATAGCCGGGCAAATGTGTCGCAGCCACAGACCAGATATCCTCCGCCGCCACCCTTTTTCAACCTCGCTCCTCAACACCCCTCCACCACCCAACAGCACTTTCCATCTTTTAGCGGTACAATTACAAGAGCGTTGGGGCAAAATGCCTCAATTTACGGCAAAATGGCCGTCATCGATTTCCGCTTTCGTGTTATTCGATATGTATTTTACTACACTAAAAGAAAAGGTGGTAAACTATTACCTAAATAGAGATAAATAGCACAGCAAAGCGTGGTATTTGTAGCAAAAGGGAAAAGTGTAGCATACTTTTAGACACCTTGAACTTAAATAAGTCTTCAGATATCTTTGTAACCCCTTCAGCATTTTAGTTAACTTTCAAAGAGGTAAAACTATTTTACCTTTTTAATAATTAAAATCTAAAAACAATTTCTTTCTCTGTAGAAAGGGGGACATTGGTTGGTATTTGGAATGTGCGTGTGTATTGGATGAAATGATTTCGCCATTCGGTTTACTCTTTCACTTCGTAACTCGTTTCGCCGGCTTTTCATTTTTATGTATTTGACATTTTGCGTTATGCGTTCAAAATGTCATCAAAATATGCATAAATTTTGCGTGTCTTTCGGGTGTACGTGTGTGCGTGCCGTGAGTTGCTAACGGCAGTAACTGCCGCATGTTGCTCAATATTTGCCAGCATTAAACTACAAGCGTATTAACATAATGTGTCATGAGAAAAATGTTCGAAATATTCGAAACCAGCAACGGATACGCACAATAAGAAATATGTCAGGATACATACGAATCCCATTTGGTGCTCTTCTGTGGGTTAACGATAATGTACAATGGGTTAAGTTAGCCAGTTAAGTAAATAATAGAATATAAAAAAGAGGTTGCTCAGTAATATATAGTTTATTAGTTATTGGTAAAGAATATAAATCTTTTAATCTTTTAGTTCTGTTTTACAAAAATTTCATGTAAAAATGTACCAAATATTAACCTTACCATATAAAACTCTTATTAATTACTCAAACGGAAATAAATTTCCAATGAAGGCGTCGCAATAAATCGTTCTGCGAAATTGTTAAAGAACCTTAAGCGATGGTGGCACATTCTATAAATATGATATTGAATGGTTTGCCACTGCAACCATTATCCTAATTACACAAGCACACACCCAGGCATCCAGCACACACACAGCCATACTGTCATCTCCTTAGACATATATATATATGTATATATATATTCTCATATCGAGGAAGTCATAGAGAACTTTCAGTTGACTGAAAAATATGACGACAAGTTGACGCAACTCGGAGAACTGTCAGGCCAAGATGAGGCATTTTTCCAGCTGAGGGATTTCGCTCCTCCCGATGCCAGACTTCTCGTTTATTCGTGTTCCTTCAGCTGTCAGTCGGTGCACATCGCTTCCGCCGCTTAGAGACACTGGAAAAAAAAATTACCTGAAATGTAAAAATATATAAAAATCTAAAAATATGTTATATAAGCTTTAGTTTTTTATAAAAGTTTTCAAAAAAGTTTCTTATTTATTTTCATTATTTTAAGTTAATTTTTGCCAGTGCATGACATACATGAATAGAAAGCCAGGCCGGCGAGTCAAAGTGAACGAGATGGGGGATAAAAACTGAGGCACGTCACGTATGTTTTTCTGCCCAAGCATTCGCATAAACATTCCTGGCCGGGATCTCGAGTTGCTCCTTCCATTCTGTGCCCTGCCCTCGGCATCCTCGTATCCTGGCTTCTCATCCAGGACATTGGCATTGACAGGCTCGCGTCGCTTTGCGTTAAATGTCAGCAGCGCTGGCTTGTGGGGCCCCAGTTTTCTCGCTTTTCCGTCGGGGTCACGGCAATTGACCTTCCATTCATCATCCAACGAGGTTGTTTGCCCAAGCACTCTTGTGTGAGTTTCCCGCTGGGTCATGTCCCGCTGCCCATTGATGTTTACCGCATTTGTTTATCGATTGAACCGGAGAAAAAAGTCGCGAGTTTTGGGTTACTGAAACAACAACAAGGAAATCGAGGCGGTAGCGGACATTGTGTGATCTGTAATTATCCCCTCAAATGAGCCTGAACTGGAAAGTTAGTTCCTTGGGGAGGGAATATACATATTTTAGGAAAAGTTTTTGTCGTATTTTGTCTTTTATATAAGCTAACTTTTATAATATTCTAGATATATAGATTAAAGACTCTCTTATGATGCTTTTAATCCTTTGGGAACTATTTTAGTTTTAAAGAATTTTAAGGGGTTTTTGAAGGCTAAGAAGTCCTATGTCTGATGAACCTTCAACACTTTGTTTCAGATTTTTTAAATATATATTTTTTATATAAAATTATAGATATTTTCCTAAACCTATCCTTCAATTTAAAGCACACTTTTTGATACATACAAATTGAACCTCAAAACCTTTAATGATGGGAATTATTCTTATATTCATAGCCTACTCTCAGGCGCAAAGCTTCCGTTTCCTCTTATGTTTTTCTGTAAGCCTTTTTCTGGGTGAGAAGAAAGAAAAATGGACAAAATGGCGGGGAAAATGAGCAACCGAATAACTGTAAATAAGCAGTGAAGGAATGTGACAACATCCTCGGTGAGGTTGATAAGAAATTCTCCCTCGTTTCCTCGTAACTTTCTTTCTTATTTTTTTTTTTTTCGGCACAAAAGGCAACAAATGAAAGACAAAAATGCTTGTGTAATGAAAGACTTGAGCAACATAATAAATAATGACAAGGACACCGAACTCGCCCATTTTTTTTTTCGCCGCATTTTCTCAAGCTCCTCTTATTACTTTCCGGGCTTTCCAATGCACTCCCAAGCAGAAGGATGACAATTAGAAAACCGTTTTCAGAGAGTCATCAGCGTGCATGGGAAGACTCAAGAAGCAGCTTTTCCTTTCCCCAAATTGTTTCTTAACCATGAAAAATGAGCAGCGAAAGGATTGAAGTGGGAATTTTCACGAGACAAAGGGGAGTGCGGTTCTGTTTGAGATGATTTTCCTGTGAGGCTTTAACAATTGGAATCTGATAAAAAGTTGCAGAAAAGTTGCTGTCAAGCGAGTCATGTTTTATGCTTAAAAGTGATGTGTTTTGCGAAGTTTAATAGGAAGGAGATTTTAATTGGTTTTACAAATAAAATATTAAAGGATTTAAATATTAAAAATTATAACAAAATGCCAGCATTAATTTGGAGTTAATAAATCCAATAAAGCCATTAACTACACTGCCATATATTAAGTTGTCATTTCAGTTTACTGATAGCAGAAACGAAACCATGACAGGAAAATTGAATGCGTTATCAGGAGAACGAGATAAATTACAGAGCATTAAAACTGGAATGTGAATAAAATCTAGCCCATTATTCAATTTACAACTTAATCCTTAATAATATCAATTAAAAATGATTAACAAAAACTGATAATAAAAAGGTAATCGGCATTTAGGCCACAGAAAAGCCGCCTCGTTTAGCTTGTTAAAACGTTTTTGGACATCAAAACAAAAAGCTGGCAATAAATTATTGAAAAACAGGCCGCAAGCAAAAACCTAACATAAATGTCGACATAAAAGCAGAAAAATGTGGAAACACGAAAGTGGTTTTAATGACCAAAAGGCAAACAAATCATAGGGGGAAAACAACTATCATATGCCGGGAAAATGTATGCTCACACACACACATATACCCAGGCAAAAACTGGACCGGAAACTCATACATAGACGACACGCCAAAAGCAAACTTTTGGGGCCAACTCTTCATCATTTTGGCCCCCTCAAAAAGCTGCCCGTCGGCACTTTAACCGGTTCCGTTTTAATTGTTACCGCCTTCTTCCGCTCGGCAAATGCTTTCCAAATTAATTAATAGCATTGTCTGTCTTTGGCAATTTGCCACGCCCACACACATACATACAAACTATAAATTGAATTTTCTTATGCGTTCTTGGCAAAAATGGAGTGCGAAGAAAAATTATTTAGCTTGAGCTGGTGGGGGGAGGAAATTGTGGGTAAAATCGAAAGAGGCCAAGTCAGCGAAGAAGAATAAGAAGAAGCCAAGCAACTTGCGCACAGGCCGAAAATCCTTTTTTAATTAAATTTTCTGTACATTTTGCAGTTTTTAGGTTTGAGCCTCAAAGGCGACCGAGGCGACAGGCGGCGAGTTTCCCTCGCCAATTCATGTCGCTCATACGAGTATATGTGACGAAAGGAAAACTCATGTGGTTTTCCAACGGTTTCAAGGAGTCGAAGGAGTAACCATAGACAAAGTTTCCACTGGCGACATTCTGGCTGCAACTCCTTCTCGTTTTTGTGTCAAGTTAATCCAATTAGTTGTTTGCGAACGTAGTTTGCACTTTGATTCCCAGCCATCTGTCTCGGGACATCTAACTAAGATCGAAAAATACCCAACTAAATGGGACGACCAGGAGATGGATGGTTGACTATTGATATTGATAACCGCGTTATGGATGGAGATGGAAAGGGGTCTTAGGTCATAGGAAAATGTACTTTAAAGTTCTTTAAATTTTTCTGGAAGCTTTAAGGAATCAAGGAACTAACTACTTGAAACTACTGATCATTATTTGTTGTTAAAAAAAGCAAGTTATGATACTTTGAATGTTCATTTATTTTAATTTATTTAAGTAACAAAGTTATAATTATGAATGGTTGTTTTTGAAAGAGAGTTTTAGTAATTAGTAATCCAAATCCTCGTCATAAGTTTCAATGGGAGTGCAACTACTTGAGTTAGCCAAAAGAGTTTTCGATTTACTCTCGTTAGAAAGCGATTTCGCCTTTTTCAGATCTTCCCTTTGTTTTAGGTAAAATCTAGAACATGAGCTATTTGGCTCTAAGGTTGGCAGAATATCATTGATAGCCTCTATGCGATCGTTAATTTGTTTTTCAAGACTAAGGCGTTGTTCGTTAAAAGTTTGGAATGCATTTTTTGCATTTAACTTGGCTACTAAGCTATTCTTATCCAGTTTTGCTATTGCGCGTAACGAGTCCACTTGTTTGGCAAGCTCAGAATTATCATTGCATTCACTTTGGTACTTGGAAATTATTTGCTGAAGTTGATCTGTTATTTCCTTGTCCATTTCAGTAAGGGCATCTGGTGTGGTCGAGGTTGTAGGTACAGTTGGGTCCTGTAAAGTTTATGTTTACTTTAACAATTTTACGAACTTAGACTTGACAGGGCTTAAATCTAAATATTTTTTTTAATTTTACCGCGGGCCTGGCCTCAGGTTTCCCGTTTTGACGTTGCTCCTGTGGAATATACTTTTATTTTTTACTTTTCTTTTAAGTTTTTAAATGTCTTACCAGACGAAAATCCTCTCCTGTTGCACCTACAGCTATTCCCATGACTATTAGGCTCCAAACCCAAAACATTTTCTTTTCCGTTGAATGTAAAAAGCTCTTTAAAATATTTCCCGAGCTAAACGTTGCTTTTTATATAGTTTTTGGCATATTTTTTAATTAAGATAAACCAAACAGGAAATTGGTAAAATTGTGAAAATGTCACTTTTTTGTGACTTATTGCTAACAGAGATAAGGGTTCATTAACATATTTTAGCTAAAAAATATATTAGTTTTTATGCATGTACTTTCCTATAAGGTATTTAGTTTTTAAGTTTTAAGTTTTAAGTATTAAGTTTTAAGTATTCATCTTGGGAAAAATGTACTTTTTGAGTGTGGTACACAGTTCAACGGGGAATTTCAATACGAACTCAACGAGGTATAACATTCTATTCTACGATATCTTTTGGCTCTGTAATGAGGGAAATACTGATATTTTGGGCGAGACATCAAAATTGTGACTTTTTAGTAAAATTTGTAATATTTTCCCCCAGTGTAATGCTTATAACTTTGTCAAATTAAGAGCCTCAAACAAAAGGAATCCGTTTTTTTGCAGCTAACGACCCCAGAAAACTTTCTATCCGGGTATGAAGTTGACTTTCGGAAATTAAAATTTTTCTGAAATTTCACTTTTTTGTAAGGGGTACCATCATCATTTTTATGAAAAATTGAAAAAATTTTTTTTTCTTCGGATTTGAATTGGACTTCAATATTTTGAAAATAGATTGAAAAACAAGCCTAACGACATATGGCATTACAGATTCCGACCATTTTTGGCTTTGTAATGAAGAAAATACTGATATTTCGAGCCTAAAATCCGGACAGACGGTTTTCGCGTTTTTTACCATCACATTTTACGTAAAATCTCAAAAAAATCACTTTTTGAGTGTGGTACACAGTTCGACGGGGAATTAAAATACGAACTCAACAAGGTATAACTTTCCATGTTACGATCATTTTTGGCTCTGTAATGAGGGAAATACTGATATTTTGGGATATAAATCAAAATTGTGACTTTTGAGTAAAATTTGTAATATTTTCCCTAGTATTATGCTTATAACTCTGGCAAAATAAGACGCACAGCTTTAAGGACGATTGTTTTGTGCAGCCAACGACCCTAGCAAACTTTCTATGTGGTTGTGGTGATGATTTTCGGAAATTAATTTTTTTGTGAAATTTGACTTTTTTGTAAGGGGTACCATCATCATTTTTCGAAAAATTGAAAAAATATTTTTTTCTTCAGATTTGAATGGGACTTCAATATTTTGAAAATAGATTGAAAAACAAGCTCAACGAGATATAACATTCCATTTTCCGACCATTATTGGCTTTGTTATATACAAAACACATGGGCATTGCAGGTAACGAAAAAGCTGACTGTGCAGCAAAACATGCTGCCAAATTTCCCTTAACCTACACCCCTAACCTAAGCCCTAGTGATGCATCCCATTTCTTAAAATCTCTCCTACATGCAAAACAAACACAACTGCGTACCTCCGTTTGGTATCAAGAAATACTCAAGTTATCAATGTCTACCCAGCCCGTCAAAAACTCTCTCCTAAACAGAAGAGAACAAATCATCATCACCCTCCTCAGACTAGAACACTCATTCTTAACAAACGCCCACTACCTCGACAGAACAAGGAACAACGTGTGCCCATTATGCAACATCTCCCAGATTGACATCCACCACATTATTTGCTTCTGCCCCTCCCTTTCCACGCAAAGATCCTTATTCCTCAATAATCCTGATCCAATCACCAGCATAGCTAACCCCACAGATTCAAACTTTTTAAACATCCTCAAATTCCTAAACAACTCCCATATCACCTCCCAAATCTAACTAAATCAAATTTTTTGTAAATAAAATGTAAATAGTAATCCATAGTAATATCTTGTATATACTCATAAGCCAAACATTCACAAGCCATCTTCTAACTTAAGCCGAGCTGAAGGCCCTAGCTGCTATTGCTCCTAGCCATTTGTTAGCTCTTAGTTTTAACTAGCCTTAGATAAATAAATAAATCTTGGGGATATTGTAGTATATTTTATATAAAACTATTCCAAAGTAGAGTGTCAATATCAGTGGAGGACAATAACAATGATGTTTTGATAATATGCCCAGATTCTTCTTATATCATTAAAAATAATCCATGTAGTTACTATTATCTCTCTGTTTTTAAGTACTATCTCTTTTTTGGGTTCTCTTCAAATGATCTCTCTTGTTTACATTCTCTCTCTGTTTTTGCTTTACTCTCCGATTGCGTGGTGGTAATCCACAGTTACACTTCGCTTATCAGTTGTCAAGAGCCCCAGATCCATGTACTATACCCTACGCTCTATACGGTGAGGTATATGCAACTTTAATAAAAATAACATTTTCTTAAAACTGAAAAAAAAACGATTTGAAGGCTGTTTAGTTTATAAATATAAAATATAAAAACTAAATATGTTTACATATATGTTTTTAATGAAAGGGTAACCAGCCTTCACATTGGCCTAACCCATTGATTAAACCGTTATCTGCGGCAGATGCTCTACGTTACGGGTTAAGTTGGATCCTCGCTCCCCTTGGCTAACCAATTCCCCGGCATGACGTGCATTTTTATGACATGGCACGCCGTTCAAAGCTTTTTAAAATGTTGTTCAAAAATTAAGCAAAAGAAGGGAGAAATGTGTACACGAAAGAAGAGAGGAGATGAGCTGGTAAAATAATGAAGCTGTCCGCGGCATTCTACGGAGTACGCTTTGTCCGGTGCTTTTCAGTACGGTTTTTGCACTCGAAACCGTGTGACACTTTGCGTCCGGTATGCGCTCTTTGTTAGTGTTGTTGTTCTTGTTTTGTGACCTCCCCCGGAAGCAAAATTAATTACAAAATATTTGCAGCTCATAATTTCATTTTGTGTGTGTTTCGCTTACTCAATTTCAGGCGGCCACAGCGGGCACACCGAAAACAGCAACAGAAATTGCAACTGCAGCTACAAAATCAGCAACGCCAGCAGCAGCAGCAGCAGCAGCAACATCGGCTATAACTGCCACGCCCCCCGCAACATCCGTAGCGGAAATTGAGCAGCTGCAACAGGCGTTAATCGAGAAACAAACACAACTTTATGCTTTGGAAACGGCTTGTCTACGGGAAACAGAACGCCAAGTGGAACTGGAGGACAGTGTAATAGCGTGGCAGGACAAGTACGATCGTCTATACGAGTCGCATAAGCGGGTTCAAAAGGTCAATCAGAGTCTGGAGGACAAGATGCTCAAGCTGGTGGATCGAAATGCCGGCGAAAGGGCCCAGTTGACCAGCGATGTGGCCACTTTGAGTGTGAGATTGGCACAGGCCAACTTTAACATAGCCAAGCTGCAGAGGGAAATCGTAAGTAAAGAAATGTATATTTTAATATTATACTTAAAAGAGGTGCTAACTTAATTATCAAAATGTGTATTTTGTAATCCTTATCTCATTAAAAACTTGTTTAGTCTTCTCTTAATCAAGTACTAAATGCTAATGACTTTAAGTCACTTCAATTGTAGGAAGCTGTTAAAGTGCTCTCAAAGTTTCCTTATCTCAGCCAGCAAGCCATAAACCTGTTGTCAATGAAGTCATATTTGATGATTGCTCACAGCTATTGAGAAATCATGAATTAAAAAGCTTTTAAAATGCTTTAAAATTGATTTTTACAATCTATAAAAACCAGTTATGACGTAAAATAGTTTCAGTGGTTTTTTCTAACGTAAGTTAAGAAGTATTACAGATCTCTTAGCATTTTTAAATTTTATTAGCACTATAAAAGTAACCTTCAAAGCTGTCTATACTATCTCAAGATCCCACATTAACCCTAGAAAGCTTTTTCTTACCAAATTCACTTAGCTAGATCCCAGCAGTTAGACTAAAAGTGCCGACTTCCTCGACTTCATTCTATGACAATTTTCCAATCCAAAAAACCCGGCAGCCCAAACAGCTTAAAGTGGATTTCCGATTTGGCCAAGTCCAAGTCTGGAATATAACAGCTGCCACAACCAGTTGAAGCCCCCAAAATCCCTTCCCCTCCACCCCCTCTTGGATTTCAGTGCAACCAACTAATTGGCCGCCAAGTTCTGAGAGGAAACGCAAACACACTTAAGTCTGGCTCTGAATTTGGGGTGTTTTTCCTTTTTTCTCTTTTTTGTTGTTGGTGGGGGAGGTAGACCACTGGAACTTTAAGCTTTTGGGGGGGTGGTAGGTAGGAGGTTGTTAAAGTCTAAACAAATGAAAGGCGGCAAAGCGTTAAAAACTCAGAGTTGCACTTCTACTTACGACAACTTTCCACGCCCCTTTTGTAGTTTTCGTAGTGTGGGAAAAACTAGAAAACTTTTCCAATTCAGTTTTGTTTTTTCCATGCTGCGAAAAATACGAATATCTGCTCGGGAAAAAGTTTTCAATTAACGCAAAACAGTAAAAATGCACTCGGCGGGAGAGAGAGATATAGAAGAGAGAATATATAGGGAGCTATATCGGAGGGGATGTGCTGGGAAACCTTTTAACGAAGGTGTCCTGCGGGTGTCCTTCGTGTTTTAGGTGAGGTGTTTGCGCAAAGCGATAGACCATGTTGCAAACAATTAGTGGGACATTGCCCAAAGAGAAGCACTGAGGGAAAAGTTGAAAGGTGATTAAATTATTAAGGAAATGTTGATATAATAGAAAGCGGCAATAAGTATATGTGATGCTCAAGTTAGAGTTTTTCCCAAAAACCAAAAGAATCCTTTAAAGACATTCTCTGGATTAAAATCTTCTTAGATTACGTAAATGGCCATATTTCCATTTTGGCCAAGTGCAAGCAAACAAGGAGGTTGAAATGAGCAGACGAGGAAGTGAAATTGAGGAGGTGCTACAGCTGCAACTGCTTTATTAACTTGTTTTTTTGCCCGGCATTGTTGTTCTCCCCGTCGCTTTTCCTAGCTGCGTCGAGTGTTTGCGCAAATTAATACTTAAAAAGCATTTCCACCTCTTCAAAAGTTGCGCAGTTTCTGTTACGTTCCGCTTGACTTTGCTTTGTTTTTCTGTTGCCGTTTTTGTGCAGCGTTTTATTTTTGTCCTGGCAGGCACTTTTTATTTTTATTTTCATTTTTCCTCTCTTTTTCTCGTTGTATTTCTCAAGGAGGCGCCGGCAAGTATGCAATGCTTTTTAAGCGGTTTTTGGACCCGTTTGAAGGATCCAACGATGTTTTCAAGGGGTTTTGTCACACACAAGTGGCGGGACTTGCGTTTTGATTGCTCGATGAAATCCAAAGTGGCGAGGGGAAGGGGATCTTTTATTGGTGATCAAAAATAATTGAGCTTTTGTGTTGAGTGCTTAGAAATTTATGACAAATTTCAAGGACCAGAAGCTTAAGCTTTAAGCCATCAATCCATGATATTTTTTAAGGCACAAGCAATATAATATTTCCTTAATATATTTGCAAGTTTTAAAGCTAAAACTTTCAAAGTTTCTGTTTAAGTTCCGTCTACTTTAGCCATCCACAGTTTTCAGATCATTTTTCATTTTGCAACTTTTTTCCCGGTCTGTTTGCTTGCAAGTCTACGAATTTTTGAAGTCAACGAATCAGACGAGACAGAAATGCAGATAGTGAGTTTGGGTTTCGGGTGGTTCAGCAGTGGAAACAACAATGTCAATAACCTTTTTGCCAGTTTTCGTTCAGTCCGTGGCTCAGCTCTCTCTCTCTTCCTGTCACTTCCTCGCATTCCGGCTGATAAAAAATCAGCACTTGGTCATGGACTGTCGCTGCGTCACGTGCCTGACTGCGGATCTCCCGATGCCATTTACCTTCTGGCTACCTACATTTTCAGTCCCTCCCCCTTTTGCGCCCCCCCCTTTAGCATGCTCCCCCATCTGTTTTGGCCATGGTTCGTTAATCTGACAGTGGCTTTTTGCATGATAGCTCGGCATTTCCGTTGCAAAACACTTAGTCGCATACTCGCCCGATGCTTCAGTTTCAGCTCATGGTCCTGGTCTTTCCCTCTTCTCCCTCCCATGAAAGCTATCCCCTCCCGCAAATACCCCCTCAACATGAATGTGTCCTGTAATCCTCCCAGGGCCATCATGCTTCATTGTTGTTGCCTGTTATTATTGTTTACCGCTCTTACGGGAAAATGCTGGCTGAAAAGCTGGAAGCAAAGTACTACAGAGGAAGAAATAGACAAATTGTAGGTAGATATAATCTGCCTTGGTCATTAATATCCTGGCCAGTTATCAATGTTACCAGATCAATATTGGGAAATTGGTTTGTTTTTATTTGACAAATAGAAAAGTAACTAACTAATAATTGATGAAGATGTTGAGTTAGTTAATGTGTTGTTGTTGGAACTTAAGGAAAGGAAAATGTTTTTATGAAATCGAAACATAATTAAAATTGTATTATACTTACACATTACTTATGTTAATAACTCATTTCCCACTGTGCATTGCATATTATGCTGTTTCCCTTTATGCCTTTAAACCTAGCCTACCCCCTCCTGCCCTCCTGCCTTGACTATCTATCTCCCTGGCTCTTTCTGCGGCTTGGTTCGAATATTTTAAATCGCTTGCCAGGAGGCAGGAGACAACAATAACAACAACAACACCATCGTTAGCCACGCCCTCCTTTTGTAATTCCCACTTGCATTAAATGCCGAGCAAATGTAAATATGCTCAGGGGCTGCCACCATCCCTTTTACACACACACACACGCACACACACAGATGTGTTTGTCCCTTTCACTTCCGCACAGAGTCCCTGTCCCTGTCCCAGTCGCAGTCCCTGTCCCAATGCGTCGCCTTCGTTGCAACTGGAGCAGATAAAATGCAGCAGGAGTTCACGTGGCGAACTATGAAACGATTCCCAATTCCCGCTGGCCTCATCTCTGCGCCAGAGTCTCAATTCCCTGTCCCTTTTCCACAATGCTTTCCCTCTGCCTTGCATTTCCCATCTCCGGCTTTCCCTGTTTGGTAATGACGCGCTTGTGGTTTGCCTTCTGGTCTGGCTGCTGTGCACGGCTTCTGTTCGGGAAGCCCTCAGCTCTGGACCTCTGCAAACGTGTGTGTAATTAATGTTTTTCACTTAAAACACTGAGAGAAATGGGGAAATCTTCAGTGCGAATGAGAAAAGGAAACTTTTGGAAAGTTTTCTTAGCCAAGTTGGGCGCCAATTTTAAGTTCATCAGGCGAAAATTATATTTTAAATAAAATTTAATTACCCATTTTCTCTCTCTGTACAACGCACTTTACTTCTTTCCGGCTGCCATAGGGATTTTCCCCTGTTGCATGCCCCATTTTGTTGTCCAACAGACCGGTGCAACATGCCGTATAAGCGATTGTATTGTAGGCCTTGTTTATCGGCTGATAAGCAGGGCCCAAGAAAGTATATATTGTCTAGCATCTAGCATACACAGGTCCCCCGCCCCCAAAGGACCTCGCCATCTGCGTCTCCTTGGGCTTTTGTGTAACTGTGTGAGTGCGCTTAATTCCTTAAAAGTTATTTACATATTTGCCTAATGTGGCATCCCCACTAAGCACTCAGCCAGCCGGCTTAGGTGGGTGAGTGGCTGGGTGGTTGGGTGGTGGTGCTTTTTGCGGTTTAGTGTGCTGAGTTGGCTTGCCAGTTGGCAGTTGGTTAGTGGGCTTGTTTGGGTTGTTCGGCTGTTGGCCGAACTGATGAAATTGCTTTTTGGCCCCAAAAACCCAATCTGTCTGTGATTTAACCGACAATAAGCCGAATCAAATAATAGAAATTCCGTAGTGATTAAATTATCAAATGTTTTAAGTGGGTCCAGGCCTGAAGTTGGTAATGAGATAGAGTCTTGGGGCATCAAGATATTTAATGAAATTTCGGAAAGGATTAGAGCAGAGCTAGCTGAGGAAATGAGAGGCTAAAAGAATGGAGCTTATTAAATATTTAAGAAGGAATTTGGCCAGCTAATAGACCATTATGAATTTATATTAGCTTTTCAAGGATTTCATTTAAGGGAGATTCAAGTTTGAAATGTATAAAATAGTTTTGTTGATTTCTGCCTTTACATGAACTGAATTTTAATGAAATATTTCTACAAATTGTTAGCTGCAGTCAACATCTATGATTACTTTGCATGTGAAAACATTTGGCTTTCAATTAAACTGGCATAAAATCCATTGTTGTATTCCATAAAACGTTCAGTTTTAATTTCAAAAAAGACCGTAAAAATATAAGGGCTGGATTTTCATATTTCGTGCAACACTTGATCTCTGACCTGCCACCTACTCCCCCCCGCTAGCCCATAAAGAATATGCGAAAATCAGGCATTCAATCAACGGACATCGCAGCCGCCTCTATAAATCCCCCGTGCATATCCCCTATAATACCCATAACTATACGTTATCTGCGA